CAGGTGTCTGTTGTCAGGTGTTTGGGTGTCTGGGTGTCAGGTGTCTGAGTGTTGGGTGTCAGGTGTCTGGGTGTTCAGGTGTCTGGGTGTCTGAGTATCTGGCTCTCTGGTTGTCTGGGTGTCAGATGTCAGGTGTCAGATGTGAGGTGTCTGGGTGTTGAGTGTCTGGGTGTCATGTGTCCAGGCGTCTGGGTATCAGGTGTCTGGGTGTCCGGGTGTTTGGTGTTTGGGTGGCAGGGTGGCAGGATTTCTGGGTGGCAGGGCTGGCCTTTCCAGTGGAGTCTGGCCCAGGGAGGGCTGCGGGCTGCTGGTGGGTGAGGTAGCTCTGAGGATACCTGGGTGCAGGGACCCAGTCATTGTAGGAAGAAACCATCTGCTCAGGGCCGGCTATTAACCTACTCGGGTGTTGCCGTTCCCAGGCAGAAGGTGCGTTTTAGCTGGATGACTGCTTTGTGTCTCTGTGCTGAGATGTCTGGTTGGAGGGACGCAGGCCTGGCTGCTGTGTGCAGAGCCGGGAGGCCGCAGGGCTGGGGACATGGCCTGGCATCCGCGGTGGGAGGCGCCCTCTGGCGGGCCAGCCGGGCACGACCTTCCTCCCCCTCTCCTTGTCCCCGCCAGGCCAGGCTCAGATGGCGGCTCTCAGGATGCTGTTTTGTGTGTTCCCAACGGGAGGGTGCAAAGGCCACCTGAGGCTTTCCTAAGCCATGGACAGAGCATCAGCTGTGTCTCCTGAAACCTTTTTGCATATAAAACAGAATATCTCTCAATCCAAACCATCAACATATGGCAATTAAGAAATGCAGGACTCATCTAAGCCATGCAGACGGGGGCATTTCCTGATGTGCCTTCAGTTGGCTGGAGGAGAGAAATGGCTTTATTAGCTGGAAGAGGCCTCTAGGACCACGATGACAGCCAGAGGTCAGCAGGCCGAGCTCGGGCCTGACCACCTGCATCACAGCCTTGGCATCAGCTGTGGGTGCCCCCAAGACCCGGCAAAGGAAGGAGCTGAGAGGTAGTTTTCTAAGCTGTGGACGTGGTGGCTGTAAATTTTATTTTTCTGGGTTTTAAGAGAAGGACTTTACTCATTCTTGTTAGGCAATTAAGCAAATGCAAGTTTAATATCTAGGAGATATCTATTGTACACCAATAAATGAGTAAAAATAAATTCAAATGACCAAGCCTACAGCTGGCAGGGCTGCGGGAAAGCAGTGTACACATATGCACACACACGCACATGCACACATACACATGCACACACAGGGGGCGGTACATAGCGATACAGTATCTTGGGAGAGTGATTTGATGAAAAAAAACCACAGGAACTATCATATATATCTTCCAGCCAATCGATTTCACTTCAGAGAAAACATTCCAATAAAATAATTCAAGTGGAAAAAATTAAAGATATTCATAGCACTGCTGTTTATAATAGCAGGAAAAAAGAAAGGAAAGAATTCCAATTCTGAACACAAGGGAAATAGGTAGACTATGTATGTGAGCAAAGTGCTGGAATCCTAATAGCCAAGTATAATGGACAGAGAACAGGGCTGGGCATGTGACATTCCGTGGATGTACCCCCGCCCCACACACACACATTTATTTACCTTACCACAATTTCATGCTTCAGTGCTTGGAGGGAATAAGACAGAAAGAGGGATTGCAGGCTGGGTGTGGTGGCTCACACCTGTAATCCCAGCATTTTGGGAGGCTAAGGCAGGTGGATCACCTAAGGTCAGGAGTTTGAGACTAGCCTGGCCAGCATGGTGAAACTCCATTTCTACTTAAAAAAAAATTAGCTGGGTATGGTGGTGGGCACCTGTAATCCCAGCTACTTGGGAGGCTGAAGCAGGAGAATTGCTTGAACCCAGGAGGTGGAGGTTGCAGTAAGCCGAGGTCACACCACTGCACTCTACCCTGGGCAACAGAACAAGACTCCATCTAAAAAAAAAAAAAAAGGAATTGCAGATGGTGCTGTGTTCCTAGTGGCCTCTCACCTGATGAAGGTATGACTCAGAACAGATGAGCAGGCATGAATCTCAGGGCAGGGGCATCTCCTGCCTGGAGGGTTCTAGTGGTTAAGATGTGAATTATTTACGTATTCCTAAACCAAACAAGAGGCAGCCCGATCAGATTTTTGGAGAGCCGGCCAGGTCCTCATCTCCTGGGGCTGCCTCTGGGGACCGTTGACGGCCATCACTCAGGAAGAGTGCTCACAGCCCGCCTTGGAGCCTGCTCTCCTTAGAGGAGTGGTCCCACTATCACATTCAGTTCCAAAGCACCATCCCAGATGCTGAGACTCAGGAGAGCTTGTGTTCGTGCTCACTGACCAAGGCAGGAGGGCCCGCTGTGCTTGGGGCTGTTTTGGGTTCTTCTATGTTAGCACTCTCCAACATGAATAGAGTACAAGCCAAACATGTGAGTGTTTTGCCATGGGCAGGTGTATGCAAACCTACCCCAACATCTGAGGAAGCTGAGAGGCCGAAGAAAGAGGCTGGCATATCTAATTCCTTAGAAAGAAATATTCAGTAGGGGCCGGGCGCAGTGGCTCACACCTATAATCCCAGCACTTTGGGAGGCCGAGGCGGGTGGATCACGAAGTCAAGAGATCAAGACCATCCTGGTCAACAGAGTGAAGCCCCGTCCCTACTAAAAATACAAAAATTACCTGGGCATGGTGGCGCATGCCTGTAATCCCAGCTACTCAGGAGGCTGAGGCAGGAGAATTGCTTGAACCTGGGAGGCGGAGATTGCAGTGAGCCGAGGTCGCGCCATTGCACTCCAGCCTGGGTGACAGAGTGAGACTCCATCTCAAAAAAAAAAAAAAAAAAAAGAATGCTCACAACTCAGCAGTAAAAAGACATGTGGCCAAGCTTGGTGGCTCATGTCTGTAATCCCAGTACTTTGGGTGGCAGAGGCAGGAAGATTGCTTGAGCCCAGGAGTTCGAGACCAGACTGGGCAACATAATGAGACCCTGTCTCTACAAAAAAAGAGGCAAATGTCCTAATTTAAAAGTGGACACTAAACACATGAGAAGAGGCTCAACACCATCAGCCATCAAAACCACAGCAAGATACCATGTCTTCCCTGCTAGGACGGTTCAAGGCAGTAACGAGTATTGATGAGGTTGGGAAGAAATCCGAACCTTTGTACGTGGCTGGTGGGAACGTAAAATGATATAGCTGCTTCAGATAATGGTTTGACCAGTTTGACAGCTCCTCAAAACGTTAAACAGAGTGGCCACATGACCCAGCAATTCCACCCCTAGGCATATACCCAAGAGAGTGGAAAACATATGTCCACAAAAAAACACACACATGCCAGTGTTCACCAGCAACATTATTCACAATAGCCAAAAAGCGTTACCACCTAAATGTCCATCATCTGAGGAACAGTAAATGTGTGTAACATATAATGGGCTATTACTCAGCCATAATAAGGAATGACATACTGATCCATGCTAAACATGGATGAATCATGAACATTATGCTGAGGCCAGGCAAGGTGGCTCATGTCTGTTATCCCAGCGCTTTGGGAGGCCGAGGCGGGCAGATCACTTCAGGTCAGGAGTTCAAGACCAGCCTGGACAATATGGTGA